CATGTATGTATTAGCTGACTCTCAGATTCTTCGCAGTGAAGCCAACCTCTTTTAAAGCTCATCCACTTCACTTGATTCAGAGCTGCAAGTTTTGAATTTATGCAAAAGTTTTATTAGTTTTTAAGAGTTTGATTAAATTACAGTGACCAAACATGAGCTCAGACATTACCTGTTGGTAGTAGTTGCAGGAGGAGCTGCTGTTTTTGTAGCGATCCAACCTTTTGGGGCTGATGATAACTGTTTCAAACAAATGAAACAAAAAGACGCATGTTTTTAGTTTTTGACACTAAACCTGAGGGAGAAAAAAGGTAACAGACCCCCATTGGCAGAGAGAAACCTGACCTGAGATGAAAGTCCAACACCCATCTCTTCAAGAACCTGGTTAGTAAGAGCATCTACATCAGCAAATAAAAAAATAAATTTTTTTTTCGTTTACTTTTCAAAAAAAAAAAAATTAATAATGGATCAATCAGAGATTGACACATGGTGAACCTGGGGTCATCGGGGTTCACCGCAGTGAACTTTTGAGAGAGGAGTTCACAGAACTTTGATTTTAATATTAATTTTTTTTTTGGTTTGCGTGTGAACTCCCCCATCATCCCTTGATGGGGGTGCTCTAAGGTCTTCTTTTCCAACACACAACATATAAAAAAAACCAAGTAACATTTGATTGTCTGATAGAAAGAATTTAAATCAGATAAACTAAGCTCTTGAGATCAAAGAGATGTATTGTTGTAGTCATGTCTAGCTGTGCCGACTGTTTCTTGGAAATCCTTAATCACTTTGGCTTGCTTTAGTTAGTGCCATTTCTTGAAAATATAAAGTTTAGCGTTACATAGTACAATATAACAGCTTACTATTGAGCATTAAAACCAAACTAGAATTATTAGCTTGTTCATTGCAACTATAGCTTTGGTTGCACCTTTCATACCAGAAGAAATTGAAGTGCTGGCATACAGAGCCTAGACACAAAGAAAACAGTGATTATTATTATTCTGATTGAACTATTAGTTTAGATGAAGTAAACCTGACATGTGCGTGAGTTGTTACAACTCTAATCTCAGAATGGCCTCGCTGTAAGTTTGTAATCCCTGGGCGATGGAGATGAAGAAACCATAGACGGTGTTAAGCATTGTTACTTTCTTTTTCCTTCTAACCTATTTTCCTTTTTTTAATAAAGTTTTAATACTTCTTTTTTTAAATCCTACATGGCACTTTGATTGGTTTAAAAGAGTGGGGTGAATTAGAGAATTCACCACAGGGGGTGAACCCAAATTTTGTTTATATTATTACTAGGTGTTTTGCCCGCACTTGCAGGCATAATTCTCTTATGAATATTTATTAGTTGATGTTTTATTAATTTAAAAATCAGTATATTAAGTTATTATTTATATTTTCAAAAAGTAAAAATCAAACACCAAATAATTTAAAAACAACTCTTTATATCTTAATTTTAAATTTCTAATAGAAAAATATATTCTCAAGACAATAGCTTAATACATATGAAGTATTTTATTTTTTAAGAATCTGATACTATTAATATAAATTTGTTTTAAATATATAATAAATTATATATAAAATTATATAAATGGATAAATTATCAAAATTACTTAAATTCATGGAAAATATGACAATTCATCAAACATCTAATTCACTTCTTAAATAATATTATAGATTTTTTACATGTTAATTTTAAATTTTATAATAGAAAAATATTTTTTCAAGATAAGAGCATAATACATCAGAATTAACTTATTTTCTAAAATATCATATTATTAATATAATTTAGTTTTAATTATATAATCAATAATAAACAAAATTATAGAAATTCTGATAATTGATCAAAATTACTTAGGATCATGGAGACAAATCAACAAATTCACTTTTCAAATAATTGTTTTGATGATTTATATTTAATCATGATTGATATTTAATTATTAATAATATAATTTTATATCTTAATTTTAACTTTTATAATAGAAAAATATATTTTCAACATAACAACATAATCCATAAAGATTATCTTATTTTAGAAAAATATTAAATTATTAAGATAAATTCGTTTTAAATATTTTTAAATATTAAATTATTGATATAAATTCGTTTTAGATAAATATAATAGTGTTTATATCTTAATTTAAAATTTAAATTTTATATATAAAAATGGATTTCAAGATAACAACATAACTCTCAAGAATTATCTTATTTACTAAAAATACGATATATTCATATAAATTTGTTTAATTTATAAAGAAAAATATATTAATATTAAAAATATGATAAATAAATAAAATCACCTAAACTTATGGAGAACATGAAAATTAAGCAAATTTACTTCTTAAATAATAGTATAGATAATTTGTATATCTTAAATTTTAAGTTTTATAATAGGAAAATATATTTTCAACATAACAACATAATCCATAATGAATCAATGATTATCTTGTTTTAGAAAAATATTAAATTATTAATATAAATTCGTTTTAATTATATTTAAATATTAAACTATTGATATAAATTCGTTTTAGATAAATATAATAGTGTTTCTGTCTTAATTTAATATTTAATTTTTATATATAAAAATATATTTCAAGATAACAACATAATTCACAAGAATTATCTTATTTACTAAAAATATGCTATATTCATATAAATTCGTTTTTATTAAATAATAAATTATATATGNAAAATATATTTCAAGATAACAACATAATTCACAAGAATTATCTTATTTACTAAAAATATGCTATATTCATATAAATTCGTTTTTATTAAATAATAAATTATATATGAAATTATTTAAATAAAGTAAATAATCAAATTTACCTAAAATAAAGGAGAAGTTGACAACTAAGCAAATTTACTTCTTAAATAATAGTATAGATATCTTGCTTATACAACATCTAGCGTCTTCACAAATTCCCTTTGCAAATACGCTAACATTAACTGCACAGAAGGGCTGGCAAGTATCTCCACGGTTGCGCTGGGAAGCATTTTTTAAGTCTTGATTTATTCCATAACCTATTTTAACAAGAGATAATTATTAAATCAATAGTAGTACATCATAAGAAATGAACGAACGTGTTCACAATTACAAAAGTAAAAGTTGAATTGTACGTACTATATAGGCTAATAGTAATACCAAGAGTAGAACGGCCTTGTGGTCGGGTAGTAGTGGACGGACTTGGGACGCTAACACGTTTCAAATTCGATCTTCCTACTACGAGAAACTAAGTCACATTGTTATGTTCACTTAATATGAATATAGCCATATTTTAGGACCTGTTTGAATGTCCCAGAAAAAGAGTTCATCTGCAGGCTTGCGACTCCTCTAGATTCAACCAGATTAAAAAAGAAAAAAGAATATGGTCGGAGCAATGAACAGAAGACACAAGGAAGAAGATCCCGAAAAGAATTGCCACTAATATTTCCATTGTGGTAGCCATTTCTAATGATGTTTTCCTAAGCATTTTAGTTTTACTGCAGATGGTTATATATATAGCTACACAAGTATATAGCTACACAAGTATATGTAAAGATATTCTTGTGGTGAATAATCTTTCCATTTAATTTAAGATTATAGTCAAAAAGAAAGAAAAATATTAGCTTCCTAATTTTGTTACAACGTTGGTGGGAATATTTGACGTTTTCTGTTTTCTTTTAAGATAATATTATTTCTCATACTTTTAATTATAATATCAATTCATAAATTGTTATTGGTTGGTGAATTTGTAAACAATCCTAAGTTAAAAAGTGACTCAAGAAAAACTCTTATAATATTATCTGTGTTTGGATTTGAATTTAAGAAACAAAAATTTTAGAAGTCTTATGAATCAAATTGTCTGACCCTCAGAGCGGCAAAAGATCAACGACCATCCTAGGCTTTAGAAGGCTCGAAGTAAAAAAAAACATATGGCCACTTCAAAACTAAAAAGAGAAAATTTTTTCAAACCTGAATAAAACTTCCTTTCTTGTTGTTTTTAAGTGGATGAGAGAAATAAAAGGTAAAACTTCTTTTGTTGAAAAAAAAAAAATTGATGAGCAAGAAAAATGGAAATGTTTGAGTAGAAAGGGAAAAAAAAAGTGATCGATGCGTCGGTCGTGGCTACGAAAGCTTATGAAGCAGAATCTGAATGGTTTGATACATTCATTGAAAGGTTAGATGTGGATACTAATACCGTTACGGAAATGATCCGATGGAAAGCCCCGTCCGTGGGTTTCCTAAAATATAATATTGGATCTTCTTGGGTCAAATCCAATCAACCTAGTGGGGCATCATGGATTTTACGTGATGGTAATGGGGTTACGATCATGCATAGTCGTCGGGCGTATTCTTATATGCGTACGCAAACCGAGGCTGATTTATGGGCTTTGTTTTGGGCGGTCGAATGTATGGGTAATTTACATTTCTCAAAAATTATTTTTGAGACATCGTCCGTCAATCTCCATAATTTTCTCACACAGCCTGAGAACCAACATCCATAATATTCTCTCTCTTCTGGCAAGGATAGACATATGGAGTCTGGATCATGCCCTCCAAGACCGCAATGAAGCAGCAGCGGCTATCGCCATAAGTGTCACGCGTGATCAGCGCCACCAATCATACATAGCCAGAAATGCCCCGGCATGGCTTTATCATCTTCTCGCTTTGGAGGCTCAAAAATAAGGGATCAGCTAGGTAAGCTTCCTTCCATGCTGTTGGGGTCTACTGATCTCCCATCTTCTTATTTTAACTTGCTCTATGTATTTCCTGTACCCATTATTGTACAATCTTTGTTCCAAGTGTTATAAAAAAAAAAAAGAAAGGGAAAAAAATACATACTCGTGCGCACTATCTTGTATGTTCTCCTAATCTCCTCCATAGTTACGAACTTGGTTTCTCTCTCACTTGAATTCTTATTATCGGTTAGAACAACATAATTTGAAGAAGATTACTTTATAATTTTTTTTTATCAAATAATCTTTCTTTTTCAAAAACCATAAGAATGATTTCTGAACAGAGCGATAGCACGAGCTTCACCCAATCTACAGAGCCAAAGTTATGTGCAAACGGATGTGGTTTCTTCGGATCAGCATCAAACATGGATCTATGTTCAAAATATTACAGAGACATATGTGCAGAGGAAGCTCAAACCGCAGTTGCAAAGGCTGCTGTTGAGAAATCTTTCAAGCCATCTCCTTCTCCTAGTACTAGCTAGTCTCTTCATCTCAGAACTTGCTCTTACCAAACCATCCGAATCAAAGAAGGAAAAGGTCGATGCTTCTGCTCCATCTTCAGCAGAAGCAGTTTTTGAACAAAACGAGCCATCAAAACCTGCACGACCGTTCTGGTGTTTGTGTTGTAATAAGAAGGTTGGTATACTTGACTTTAAGTGCAAATGTGGGAGCACTTACTGTGGCGAACATCGGTACCCTGAGAGACATGATTGCAGCTTTGATTCTAAAGAAGCTGGCCGTGAAGAGATTGCTAAATCCAACCCTGAGATTAAGGCGGATAAACTTCAAAGGTTATGAAAATTTGCTAGGACTTGGTTTTTCTTTCTTTCTACTCAAGTTGTATTGCAATCAATTAATGGGGTTTGCTGGATGATGAATTTGGTTCCATAATAAAGTGAACGGATCAAGTTTGACTCTTGTCTTTGTTCCTAAATCTCTCAATCATCTCTAATGATTTGACTTTGTTTGTTTATGTTCATGTCTTTCTTTGTTACCAAACTATCCTATGTGGATTCATGATATTCTAAACAAAACATGAAGTTTAGATGGTCACGGAAAAACAAAGTTAAAGTGTATTATAAAAAATTAAAACATTAATAATTAACTATAAATATAAAAAATTGACAATTAACTATAAATATTTAATTATTATTAAAACAGTTGAAAGTAAATATGACATGTTAATTGAGTATTATCGATATCAATCTTATTTATAAATCTCGTGATTCTTTGTCATATAAATTCTTGTTTTTTTGTTTGGTAAGAAGATGGGAGAAGGACTCCCAAGTTTATTAATAGAAAACTGAAGACTACAATCGAGCTAGTCGAGGATGTAAAACACCATCGACATCCTCATGAAACAAAGTAGCAACCTTCATGGGAACAACATCAAAACCATGAAAACCAAACTGAAGCGAAAAAGTAAGGTTAGCTAAACCATTAGCTAAGCGGATAGCTTCCCTAAACACATGAACAAACCGGACCAACCAGTCCCTCGTCAAGAAGCCATGACACAAATGCACCAGGAAAGATAGCGGATGAGTATTCTCATATAAATTCTATAGATCAATATATTCCAGTATAAAAATAAGTTAATCATATTAATATACTGGTTTCAACTTTGAATTAATATGATGTGGTATGTCAGGGATAAGATTGTAGAAGATTTGAAAGTTTAACCATTAGACTAGGGCTGGAAAACCGGAGTTTCAATCAGGTTTCGGTTCGCATTCATTCAAGTTTCGGGTTCAAGAATTTTAGTCCCATTCAGATGTTATAAAAATTTGGGTCGGATTTGGTTCGGGTTATCTCGGGTTCAGTTTGGGTTTAGTAACATGTCCAAGATTCTGTTGAACCCAAAATAGTTTCAGTTTTCGATACTAATCGGGTTACTGGTTCCAAAAATACTAATTTCTAATTTATTAACCTCAATATATTTTCAATCTTATTAATAAAATTTTGTATTTAGTTTCTTCAAACTATATTATTTTCATTCAAATAATATTTTGAAAGTCGTCTATCAACCATATAAGATTTTGCTTTGAACTATACGTGACAACACTAAACATATCATCATTAATGACAAACCAAAGTCTTTTATAAATGAAAATCATACATAACTAAAGATAAAAAATTCAAATTTAACAACTAAGAATTCTATAAATGTAAAAAAATACTATTTAAACTTTAAAAACAACAATATTGTTTAAACTTCAAAACAACTTTATTTGTAACTAAACTTTCAATGTATTGTCAAACATAAACATTAATACTAACCAAACAAAATTATTACATTAAACAAAGTATTTGAGTTAATTATTCATGTAATAACTAATTATTGTATGTATTCAATAATATCTTAATGTGTTTTGGAAACATATTAGAATTTGAGATTATATATGGCACAAGTTTTTTTTTTGTAATTTTAAAATTTTGGATCTTTTCGGATATCCATTTAAGTCCGGGTTCGGTTTGGGTAAAACCCATAACCCAAAATACCGCAAAAAAATCCATTCGGTACTTATTTCGAGTTCGGATCGATTCGGATTATTTTTTATCGGGATTGAATTTGGTTTGAAGGTTCAATTCTTTTGCCCAGTTCTAAATTAGACTATGATGATTCCGCACTATATGTGTCATCTACAAATGATTTTACTTCAACTAGATCCGATGTCCGCGATACGCGCGGAAAATGTTTGAAATTTAATATAAAATAGAACATTAAAAATTGTATTTTGAATAAATATATATTAATTCGGACATTAAACCAAAGTGAGCGTTAAACCACACCTCTTTTATAAGCTTAAGACTCGTATTGGACCTGATACCGAATTAAACCGAATCGAGCGTTAAACCAGACTTCTCACTTGTATGTGTATATCTTCTGTAAGAATTTGATTTTCTTCGTTATTTTTTTTAAACCCAAGATTATTTCTCCATATTATACATTTTTTTAATCTTTTAATTATTTGAAATTTTTACTTTTTGTTCCATAATTAATGTATTTTTAATGTATTAGTTGGTTAGATATTTAATTTAATTTTTTTTTTCTAAAATTATTTAATGTTATTATATTCGGCCTTATTCTTGTTACGAAAACTTAGTTTCATAATAAAATTATTGATGTAGTTTGAAAGAAATAATGAGACTATTTCCATTTTAGAAGTATAGATATTTTGGTATGTTTTTCGTATTTTAGATTATATAAATTCAATTTTATGTTGTACAAATATTATAAATATAATAAGATCGTTGTTGTAGTTTTGAAAGCAATAATGAGACTATTTCCATTTTAGAAGAATATATATTTTGCTACGTTTTTCGTATTTTAGATTATATAAATTGATTTTTATGCATACTGTCTCTTCATATTATTTTATACAACGTCCTTTTTTTATGTTGTACACATATTTTAAATATAATAAAATTGTTGATGTAGGTTTGAAAGCAATAATGAAACTATTTCCATTTAGAAGTATTGATATTTTGGTATGTTTTTCGTATTTTCGATTATTTTATAAAGCGTCTTTTTATGCTGTACAAATACTATAAATATTATAATAATTATTATGTTCTTAATTTTCATATCAATATCACATTTGCCTTTGAAGATTTTTTGGACATGAAGAAACATGTATCTGAACATAATCACTAAATGATCAAACATTAAATGACCAAACATAGACATAAGGTGAGAAGATTCACAATGCATCTGCTTTAAAAACACTAAAATGATCGATGGTTATCACTCAAACAATCGATTTGTTTATCTACTAAGAGAAAGATTCTTAGGGCTAAAAACACTCAAACAATGGGTTTGTAAAATCGATTTTAAAAACACTAAAATCATCAATGGCTATCACTCAAACATAAACCCAAAGTATGAAATCATTAAGGCATAAGCATAAAAAAAAGACTTGAAAAAGATGGTCTAAATGATGAAAAGTCAAAGACTGAAAATGAAAACAAACGAACCATAGTATTTTTAACAAACCGAAACCATAACTTTATACTTGTTAGCCACATCTTGGACGCTTTCTTTCAGCTATCTCAGCCATTTCTGAACTCCTTTTCACACTTTCATCTCCATATTCTTTATGTCCAATGGAAGGACCATCCTCATGTTTACCCATATGCAAAGTTTCTTCAGCAGCAGGAGCAACCACGTTTTCTCCCAAGTCCCCTTCAGACGCTTGAGCTTTAGGAGTGAGTACCTTAGTGACTGTCAAAGACTGGGTCTTGCCAGTCAAATTGTAATTAGAGACCTTGAGGATGAACTTACGGGACTATCCAGTGGTATCAATAAGAGCTTGAGGAACGGGGACCAAATGATCATCTCCAACGCTCTCATTGCCCTGACATAATTTTAAACACTTTTAGAACAATTTTACAGACTCTGTCCAGATACTTGATGATGAATCAAAATCAAAACCAAAGGCTTAGACACATATCCATAATACATAGGTCTTTACTAAAATCCTTTCAAACAATGCCTAAAGCCTATAACCAACATCCGACAAGGTTTTACTATAATCCTTTTCAAACATGCCTAAAGCCTATAAACACCCTTTCAGAATACGATTTCAAACCAATATAATGGATAGGTCTGTAATTATCTCAACGTAGCTTTCCACCAATTCTGAAGCTTGTTTTCCAATCAGCACAAGCCCAGCATCACCAAGGAGCACAAAAGACGCATGGTCATTGTTGTCATAGACCGATAGCTTCGTCAGGTACCTATCAAAGAAACACATTAATAATGAATATCTAAAATGGAAATGAAACTGAAGATATAACTCTTATTGTGCAACACCAGCAATCTCAAGTTTTCCACATTTCTTACACATAAGAGTGGTAGGCCCTTTGATGGCCTTAGTATGGAAAACACCGCATCCAATGTAATACCATGGAGACCCATGCACAACATCATCAACAGTGGCTATGCACTCAAACCAAGCCACCTGCATAATTGTCAAAGGAAACATCATAAAAACTAAGGTCTGCATAGTAAACATACAAAAACAAATGGGCTATTGTACCTTTGATCCGTCCTGCTTCATGTAAGAGAATAGCTCCCCTATAGTAACAGTCTCAGTCTTGATAACAACATCAGCATTAACCCTGCTAGCAACATCCAAGTTTGAGTTCAGCCTGTAGAAAATGTTACACAGAATTAATTATAAAATAGTTTTCATATTCTTTTTTGAGACATGAATACTTACCAAGCCAGATACTCTCTGGTTGGTTGAACATCGGTGTCAGTAAACACACGTGAAGATGATAAAGAGGAAAGAGTCAGGGCGCCTGCAGCAAAAACAATGGGTTTAATACCAAACAAAAATGAACTATTACATCTCAATAGGGGTAAAAAACTAAACCAAGAGCCATGTTAACTAAACCATGTTATCCAAGCACCCTATTTAACATCTCTAAACATAAATAAATTCTGCTAATACCAACCTCCAAAACGTTTTGGGTTGACGATGGTCACCAGAATAACACTTGGACTGCTTCCATGCGCTTTAAATTTTTCAAAGAAGGCTGTAGCAGCCTTGTCCCATAGGTATAGCTTCATCAAAGGACCACTGCAACAGATCGAAACTAATATGGTCAGAAAAAGGCTATATGTATAAATAAAAAAAAGCATTGGCTATAGCTTACTCATGTGTCTGCACATGAAGCAGAATTCGGCGGGTGGAAGCTAGCTCCTCTTCATCAAGCACAAGACTCTCATTCAGAGTTTGCTCATTCACCAGTTTTATATGACCAACATAATCTGCAAGAGAAAAACATATAACTTAATTTCTTAAAAATAAAATTGACAAATAGATTTGTAAACATACTAACTGATGTTACTAAGTACTAATCTATACACCAAACAACTGAGAATCCAGAAATCAAACTTAAACAAATTAAATTGAAACATATAACAACAACATGCCAAACATCTGAGACCCAGCAAGCAAAATTAAACAAATGAATTTCAACCTCGTAATTAAAAATTCAGAGAGCTTACCATACAGATCGCCCTTGAGGTCACAATCCGCTTCAAACTCCTTGTATCTATGGAACCGGAACCGGTCTTCAGGAAAACAAACCGAGTTGCCTCTAGGACAGAGAGGACAGAGTTGAGAAGGCAATGGTCACGCTTGGTTCAGCGTCCCGGTACTTTTCTCTGAGATCCATAAAAATTGTTCAGTCTGTAAACGGTTCTGGGAATCATGTGTGGCAGATAGGTGTCCATCCTCCCTGGTGTGATGAATCACTGGATTGCAGTACCATGTTTAAGATGTTAAAAAAATGATTTTTGTTATTATTTTTACTGAGCAAGGAAATCAAAAAATAACAAACATAGACATCGATACCAAAGACACAACAAAAGAAATAAACAGAAAGCGAGGACACATACGAAGACACATACGATGAAAGCTTTGAGCTTTGATTAAAAAAAATATAGGACACATATATAAGTAACCACAATCAAAGACCAAAGAATCTAACATTGAAAAAAAAAATAAAGCATAACTGATTAGAACATCACCAACTAACACAGTAAGTTAACTTAATCGGTAAAAGGCATGAAAAAATAACAAACACGTTTTCCTTTTTAATACTAAACAAAACAGCAAAAATTCACAATAAAACACCAAAGAATCTAAACTTGAAAACAAAAAGCAAACCCATATCTGATAAGAACATCACCCACGAACACAATAAGGCTAACTTGATTGCTACCAACCATGAAAAATAAAACAGTGTTTTCCTTTCTAATAATAAACTAAATAGCAAAGTCACACAGAAGCCCCCAGAACGAACTATCGCGCACACACTAAAAATTTTTTATTGCAAACAAAAAATAACAAACAAAGAGTTAGGAAAAAACCTCCTCGTCGATGAGTAGCATCTCTAGACCAATAAGCATTTTCGTCAAGACGTTTCTAGCCTCCCAAAAATGGATCAGACAAAACCTCAGCTCCCCTTCTTGTGGTCCGCATTTGTCATCTCTGAAGAACAAAACTTCATCGGAGGAGACAACTGAGTTCCCCTTTAGTTTCTTTGAAGTAAAGTCAGACGGAGTCAACTATCGAGGAGGAGACACCTCTTTTCCCGCTTTGATGGATTGATACGGCAGAGGGTTGGACAGCACGGTTGATCGACCCAGTGGATGAGACATCGGTTTGAATGTTTGTTTTCTTGGAGTTGATATGTCGGAAACAATATATTTCCAGTTTAAATTCATCGTCGTTAATGATTGAGAGAGAGTAGACAATTGTAAGTCGGAGAAAAAGAGAAACTATGGGAATAAGTGAATGAAATAGAGATGTAGAAAATCAAGAGGAACCCATAAGTGCCTAATTTTGAAGGATTGATTCCAGGAAAGTGGGTTGTTTGACGTTTCGTCGTCTCATCGGTAGAAAAACTGTAATAGTGAGAAGAGGTTAAGTGAACTGAGGAAGGGAGACTCAGGAACGAAGAATATGTTTTAGGGTTTGCAAAGCTATTGTGGGAACCGAAATTCACACTTGTCGATTTCCGTTAAATATGGAAACTTAGGAAAACCTTAATTTTCCAGAGGAACCGGATCTCTGCGAAAGCCAACGACAACTAACCAAATAAATGCGGAAAAATATGAAAAACGTAATAAAATGAATTTAAAGAAAAAGTAGATCTTATTTCGATTTCGCGTAAGAGCGTTGCGATCATTACAAGGGTTTACAAAGGCTTTGGCCATAAGGCCGTCAGCGAGTTATCAACATAAAAACCTTAAACCTAATCGAGTCGCAGCTCGATAACAAAAGACGGAAAAAGATAAGAAAAATAATTTGAATGATTTCGGACTGAACCTTATGAAAGGCTGCCTACGTACCCCTTTCGAGGATCAAGTCGAACGTAGTTCAGTTGATAGAGCTGGACCAGAGATCGAACTGCCTGGGCGAGTTCGTCTAGCAATTGAGCGCCAGTCATAGAAACCGAACTTGTCGAGAAAAAGCCTAAGTTTCTAAGTGCGGAAAATTCTAAGTCTAGAAAAGTTGTAAAAGTCTCTGATGAGAGCTCTGATTTTCGTCCCTTTGCTTCTGCCCTATGCCTCTTGCTTATATACTCCCTTCCTCGGCGGTTTAGTCTTTCCATTTCGCCAAGTTTCGAGTTTAATGGGAATCTTCTATTTATCTCGATCTTTCCTTTTTTCCCGCGGAAATCTTCTATTTATCCTCAAACTTGACATTTATCTTCAAGTTTGACATTTATTTTCTTTCTGCAAGTAAATCGCCAAAACGTCGTCGTATCTTCGGGTTGGACTTCGTTTAAAGTCACGAGTGGCTTTATCGCGTTTTATGACTTTCCGAGCCGTTTTGCGATAAATCCGTTTTACGACTTTAGACAAGATCGTTTCCTGATACGATGCCGTTTTTAGATAAGTTTCTCGAGTTAATCGTAAAGCTAAGCAATGTTCGATGTTTCAATTATTTGTTGCCGTTTTCTACGATTTACTCGGGGTTTTGTTAAAAACGCGTTTTGTACAATTTTTACGAAAAATCTCGAATGAATCGTATAGTTTAGGCAATATTTTGTGTTTCGTTTAACCGTTGCTGTTTTATACGATTTCCTCGAGTTCTTTTCGAGAAAAGAAAGTTTTACGGTTTTTATCGTAAAACTCGAACGATAGGACGGATCGAGACGAAACGGGAGACATTTCGACCGTGATTCGGAATACGATCGTGTCGAAGGACGTATGCCTTCAATCAAGAATGTGGGAGATCGAGGCTCGGGATGGTTGGCTCGATGTACGGTGAGCTAGTTCAGCTTGGCCAGGTCGCCATATGGCGAACTAGGCGATAAGAACATGTGGGGCAAAGTCAGCACCTCTTAGTTCGCCGTTAGGCGAACTAGTCGGGACGAGGCTAGTTCGCCCAACGGCGAACTAGGCCGGCTTGGCTTAGTTTTCCGTTAAGCAAACTAGCCGGGGTGGGGCTAGTTCGCCCAATGGCGAACTAAGCCGGCGAACTAGGCGATAAGAACGTGTGGGGCAAAGTCAGCGCCCCTTAGTTCGCCCAACGGCGATCTAGCCGGTCATGGCTTAGTTCGCCGTTGGGTGAACTAGTCGGGACGAAGCTAGTTCGCCGTTGGGCGAACTAGCCGGGACGAAGCTAGTTCGCGTTTTACGGCGGTTTCGGTTTTTCGCGGTTTTGTAAAACGATTCTTTGAGTTTTATAAAACGATTCTTTGAGTTTTATAAAACGATTCTTTGAGTTTTATAAAACGATTTTTTAAGTTAAAGATTCTCAAGTTTTATAAAACGATTCTTCGAGTTTTATAAAACGTTCTTCTGGTTTTATAAAACGATTCTCGAGTTTTACAGAATGATTCTCGAGTTTTATAAAACGATTCTTCGAGTCTTATAAAACGATTCTTCGAGTTTTATAAAATGATTCTCGAGTTTTATAAAACGATTCTTCGAGTTTTATAAATTATTCTCGAGTTTTAAAAAACAATTCTTCGAGTTTTATAAAACGATTCTTGAGTTTTATAAAACGATTCTCGAGTTTTTATAAAACGATTCTTCGAGTTAAAATGATTCTCGAGTTTTATAAAACGATTCTTCGAGTTTTATAAAACGATTCTCGAGTTTTATAAAACGATTCTTCGAGTTTTATAAAACGATTCTCGAGTTTTATAAAACGATTCTCGAGTTTTATAAAACGATTCTTCGAGTTTTATAAAACAATTTCTTTTATATTTTCTGCGGAGACATTTTGCCATTGATTCCGTTGTGACTGATTTCGACACCAACAACTATCTGCTTAATGGGCCACAAACCATTAACTTTTACGGATCAAATAAATAGAATCAGTGGCCCAGCAATTCGCTTCGCGTGATCATGTCTGACGTGGAAAAAAAATGCCTTCCATTGGCTAATTATTACATCAGACGTGGATGGCTTCACAGGGCTGTATATTCGTCT